GGGGGGGGGGGGGGGGGGGGGGGGGGGGGGGGGGGTAAGAAAGGGAAGAGGTTTTGGGGAAATGGAGCCTGCAGGCTTTGGGTCGAGCGGAGGAGGAGATTTCGTTGTTGGATGCCGCTTGTCCGTGAAGACCACTCTTGGAGAGGAATTCGAGGGGGAGGTGCTCACGTTCGATAGGATTACAAATTGTGTGGTCCTTCAAGAATCAATGGGGCCGGGATCGGGGCGGAACTTGCGATTCCTCAAGGCGAACTTCATAAAGGAGTTCAGCTTGCTAGGGCAATCAGAAGAGCAGACGGATTTTCGAAACACGTACATCGATGCGGATGTCTGCCGACAGCGCGAAGATGCGGCAATCAGGCAAGCAGAGGCAGATGCAGAGAGGATCGGGATCGCGGTGTCGGAAGAAGGCCAATATATTTTTGACGCGTTATCCAAAACCTTACCTGTTAGATGGGACAAGACAGCCATTGTGGTGATGGACGATGTGCGGATCACGGACCCGTACAGAAGGGAGAATTGCTCTGGCGGTCCACTTGCAACCCTCGAACGTGTGCAGAAAGTGCTCGATTTCGAACGACAAAGACTGCAATCGAGGGTATCTTGAAGCCAAAGCTTTTAGGTTTAGGGCAAGGAGGGCATGCTATGTTGAATCCAGCTTATAGGTTTTAGGTTTTAGGGTTTGTTTGAAGGGTGCATCATCGTGGTTGTAGAATGGATGATGCTGACTGATGATTGGTTGGTTGGTTGGTTGCCTACCAGGCTGGAGTCCCAACATGTACCTCCTCCCGTCCCCTCTCTTGCTTCCTGCCCCCCCCCCCTCTTTTATCCTCCCTCCTGCTTTGCAAGCAGCCTTGTTGGCAGTTGGATGGGGGTTATTGAAGGAATGCTATGATTCTCTTGTTGAGTACAGGCGTTCTCTTGTTGCTACACCTATCCTATTATGAATCTGACGGCCTTTCTCTTCATGGACACATCAAATTATTCTTATGATCTTTAACCTCTTCTTATGATGTTTGACCTCTTGTTATAATGTTTAACCTCTGTGTGGTGGGGAAGAGATTTGTTTTGAAACATGGTTGGGGAGATTTATTTTAGCCTCCATGTCTGTCCGATGTGGGCTACGGATGATAACTGCCATCAATCTGGGGGGGGGGG